TCTATTATGAGCTGTTAAAGCCTGCTGAAACGGTTAATACCAAACGCTACCAACAACAATTGATCGATTTGAACTGTTCGCTACTCGAAAAACGACCAGAATATCGAAAAAGGTAGCACAAGATCATTTTTCTCTATGACAATGCTCCATCACATACGGCAAAACCGGTTCGCGACACGTTGGAAGCACTCAGCTGGGAAGTGCTAGCCCATGCGGCTTACTCAACAGACTTGACTCCTTGTTTGCATCGATGGGTCACGCACTTGCTGAGCAGCGCTTTGGTTCGTACGAAGATGTGAAAAAATGGCTCGATGAATGGTTCGCGGCAAAAGGGGAAGATTTTTACTAGCGTGGTATTCACAAATTACCCGAAAGATGGAAAAAATATGTAACTAACAATGGAGCATACTTTGAATAAACCATTTTTTATCATTCTTCCGAATTTAACGTGTTTTTTTTTTAAATCCGCATTTCATACTTGTACACCTGGTATAGTTATTTTTACAAAGTATAACTTTCCCAACCTGAGTTGATATTTTGTACATGTCTACCGATAGTTGTCGGTGTCGACAACTAACGATAGCCAACGGTAAAGGTTATCCTAAAAAAAAAACGCTGTTCTCATTGGCTGTTGCTACTTAATGATACCGACAACTGTCGGTATACGTGTACTGAATATAAGCCCTAATTGTATATACAATTATATATGTACAGACCGAATATTGTAATAACATTTAAAATATAATAAATTTGAAAGACTATTTATCCTAATTTTGGTGTTTTAAAATTGATAATATAGAATTTATTATCACTAATATAAAAACTAAAAAGAATTTTTAAAGTATAATTTTTTAATTAATTGTTTTTATATGTTAAAGGCATTAATATACGTTAGTACAGCATTTGCACATGTGAATGAACCATTTGTAGATGAAAAAGTGTACTTGCCAATAGCTGATTGGCAAAAGATAATTGAAATAGTCGAAACTTTCGATGAGCATACTTTAAACATTTTTACGGCTAAGTAAGTTACAAACGAAAATCTATTATTTGTACATTATATACATATGTACTAGAATCTTTTGCTTTATTTATAAGATTTTAATCATATTCAAATTTTTAAGTCTATTCGCACTTAAAATTATGTACAGGTGTTTAGACTATGCACCCAATACGTATATCTTTTCAAAAAACCTATCGGAAAAGGTAATACAAGATTATTCTTCCTCCTTGCCTTGTGCGATTGTAAGACCTCCCATTGGTATGTAGTCTTTCTTCTAATATTAAAAATAATTTCTAGTCTTAATGCGTTACTGTGGGGTGCTAAATATTTGTATTTCCACTGTTTGGATAAAATGATTGCACTGACAGAACGCGTAATTTCTTCTTGGAAATAATAATTATACCATTAAAAGTAAAATAGGAAAAAAGATATATATGTATATTTTATATTTTAATATAGTTTAGAAACTGATTTATTTTAATATTTGTATTTATGGAATGTAATTAATTAAATGGATCTTTAAGATATGTTTTCATCATAAATCGCGACATTTAGCTAATGTTTATTAGCACTTGAAAAATTAAACAAATAAAAATTAAATATATATTTATAGAATTTTATAACATTTTAACGTTTGATTGATAATACTGTCCGACAAAAATTGACCTTTTTTTCTTACGGCGATTACGACCCGCATTTCTTAACAGATTCAAGATTGCTGAATCCAAATCCCATCACGTCAGGTTTTTCAGATAAATCGAGTAAAATGAGTCAAAAACAGCGTTTTTTGCTACAGTTACTATTTTTTGTGTCCGAACAAAATTTTATATTTTGCAATTTTATTAACGCCACTCTAAAGAGGGAATCTTCACATTTAAAACGAATTATTTTTATGTGCGATTTGTTTTCATCAAATTATGAACGTTTTCTAAAATGTAAAATGGTGGATCCATTAGCGGATTGAACCTGAAAAGTAGATAGATTTGTTTCAAAAAAGTTTCTTAGGCGATCTAATGTGGTGAACCGAATGTTACTTGTCGTATTTTGGTCCTCCATAATAGATCCGCCATTTTGAATTTCTATATTTTAAGTTTTTCAGATTCATCAGTGACTTCTAGAAAGCCTAAGATACTTTTTTGATATAAATCTATCTACTTTTCAGGTTCAATCCTTCAATTTGGATCCACCATTTTACATTTTAGAAAACGTTCATAATTGTGTAATAATTGCACAGTAAAAAAAAAATTCGTTTTGAAGGTGAAGATTCGCTCTTTAGAATGACGTAAATGAAATTGAAAAATAAAACCAACTATAGAAATCAAAGCCTTAAACAATTTAGCTGGATCGTAATGCTTGTATGATTCTTAAGCTGGCCATACACGATGCATGATTTTCTGCATAACTTACACGTTGCTGTATCTGTTCTGATGCGTGCTAAACACTTTGGAGCATTGAGCAAAGTATACTACCATCCTTGATTTCTGTGTTTGATATGGTGCATTATTTCATGCTCGTTTTCTTGCACACGCCAATCAAAAACGTTAAGAATCATTCATGTGATTGATTGGTGTCATGCGTATGTGATATGTATAGGATAGAGCCACTACGGTTGCCACCTTCGTGTGATGAAGTTTATGCAGCGAGTCGAGCAAAGCAACATGCATTGATCATGCAAGAAAGTAAGCATGAAAATCATGCATCGTGTGCGGCCAACTTTATGTGAATTTACATACATACTACGGTTTGATTCAAAAATTTGTTAAATTGCTAGTCAATTTAACTCGTGATAGTACTGCAGTAGTTTAGTAGAGTTAGCGTTTCAAGACTGAAAAATCATTTCGGCGCGCGTTTCTAGGGATTACATATGGTACGTAGTATATTCACATAAGAATCATACAAACATTAAGATCCAGCTAAACCGTTTAAGACTTTGATTTCTATAGTTTGTGTTATTACACACACGCGCTCGCGCGCGCGCGACACACACACACGGTTAGTATTAAGAGACCAGTCTCGGTATCGACGTCGAGACGAGACCGAGACGAGACTTAAGGTCTGAATTCGAGACCGAGACGAGACTTAAGGTCTGAATTCGAGACCGAGACGAGACTGTTTGTGCCGAGATTCTCGACGATATTACCGAGAGTCTCGTCGAGACTCTTGATATATTGAATATTCGTGACAGATTGTTCTGTATTCTCGGTTTCTGAACTGGAACCACTGGAATTACTGGAACTACTGGACATTGTTTTAAATTTAATCCTCGCTTTCAGAAATGATGCTCAATTACAGGAATTGTTCTGTGGCAAAGCACTTCGTAACTTCGTCTATCGACTATTTTCAAAGAAGAACCTAGCCAAACGCGAAAGACTGATGATATTTAAACAAATGACTATAGAGTAACTGCCGCTGGCGCCGCGTCTGCTTGCAATCCAGCAAATCGCTACCTAACTTATCAGTCTGATTTATCCAAGGTCAATAAGTCAATACGCTGAAAGCGTATGTATTTCGGAAAAGTGTCAATAGAGATTTTTTGCAA